ATTTATTTACAACTCGAGAATCCATCTAGTGGACCCCTGATAAAATCTCAAATTGAAATGTCAACTGAAGAAATCCCTATCTACATCATGAAGAGAGATCCCGCGTCGTCAGAAGAATGAGTGACCGTCTTTGCTCAGGACGAACAAGCTCCAGCCTGGAACTAATGTACACCTGAAAAATAAGAGTGGGTCAGGCTCACAAACAAATTATATCCTACTACTATCCAAGTAGAGACTCGATACGCATATACATTCTAACTAACTCAACAATAGCTAATAGTCTATACATATGTATATTCATACTACAGGACTTTCACTGGACTATGGAGAGGGTCTCAACCTGAATAGAAGGCAACATACGAAAAACGCACCCATAGGTGGGCATGAATACCTAGACCTAACAGGGTACATCTCAACCTCTCATATCCAGCTACGCATCCTACTGCATATACGCTCCTTAACCGACGACTCTGAGACTCAAGCTCATATCGCGGTACCATAAAAATATATTTAAAGTCCGATCCTAACTAACCATCAAGAATTCAGTTAGTCATTCAGCTTGTGCGGCTTCTTTGACTTAACTTATATAACAAGTAATCCAGTTAGTCATTCAGCTTGTGCAGCTTCTTTGACTTAACATATATAACAAGTAATCCAGTTAGTCATTCAGCTTGTGCACCTTCTTTGACTTAAGCATAAGTAGGATTTATTTTGAAATCCATTCCCTTAGTCCGTGTAGGTAGGATGTAGTATTTTGAAACTAATCCAAACCTAGACATGTCACCGTCCCATACCGGTGCATGTAATCCATCATCCAGCAATTGATAAAACAAATAATAACTGTAGTTATCAACTATTTCACATATCTAACAATTTATAATAAAACATTAGATACAAACATCAATGGTTCCAGATTAAGCATGGTAAAATTGTATTATTTAACAGGCTTATACATATTACTTTCCCAAGATCCAATAATTGATAATACATGTCATGCAGATAAATATCAATTTAACTCCAAGATAGCATAACAAAATATACAGATTTACATGCTCACCTTATAATACTACACAATTGTTCAGGAACTGATGACACAATTAATGTATGTTTCCATCATTTATCCATTATAAGCATACAATCATCCTGTAATCTAACAAGCTTATAATTTACTACAGACACATGAACAAACCATAACTCCATTCACAGATAAACTGCTACCTATAAGGTTGTGCAATTTAAATCCTTAGTCCAAAAACAGTTTGCTAATTTTACTTAAAAATTAAATACTGTTCTAATAGGCAACCTTACTTGATTTATCATGCATTATCAAACCCTCTCAAATCTTAATTTGATCATAGACCTCAATCAAATCTCCCAATTTCAGCCCCTAAACACACCGGTAGCATCAGAAACAAGCCCGGAATCAACCCAAGGCGTCAAAACACAACAGAACGAAAAAGGAGACGTCTCCCCACAAGGGGAGCCGCCTCCCCTTTGAGTGGAGCCGGCTCCACACCATGTGGAGCCGGCTCCCCCTTGTGGGGAGCCGCCTCTTTGCCCTTAATCTGCTCATCTTCTCCAACTGTGTCCTCTCCAGCAATGTCCAGTGCATCCGTCTTAAATTCTAAGGATACTACTGGTTAAATTTATGTCCCAGTGTGATCCAGAAATAGTTTAATGCCTTAGTCATTCACCGACAACAATCATAGCAAGAATTATGCGATAAGGAGTTAGAATAAGCAGTTTACTATTCAAGAACATACATTGTTATAAGTAAATTAATCATGTGAACCAGAGTAATATTAAGGCTTCTCTGGGTGTTAAAAACTAATTTAACTCTTTACATACCAGTCTACGTGAATTATACATTCAGTTCCATGAGTTACTTTATGAGTTACATACGAAAGATTTAGAACACACAATATAACTCAAGGCTACGTTCAGTTTAAAATAACAGAGACATGCAACAAATCCACTTTTAATCTTTATAGATTCCTGGAATCGTGTTAGAGATGCAAAGAACACAAGCCTAAAGAATAGAGTTAGGATTAGAACTTGCCTGTGAGTTTTCAGTTCAAAACCTCAGCGTCATCTTCCTAAGTTTTTCTGGTGAACTACGGTAATCCTCCTCTGTTCCTTCTCTGCCTCCACTGTCGTGAATAGCGTTCTAAAACCCTAGGCAGAACCTAATACCTATATTTATAGGTTTTCACAAGACCTAGGTTCAATTCAAACCCTACACTAAATCCTAGTCGGCCCATAGAAAACCTATTTAAAATCTACGTCGGCCAATATACGTGACTTCACAAAGAACCCTAAGTACTGAACGTATTTTAAAAATTCATTTAACTTAATTACCTAATTAAACAACTATAATCATTATAATAAACCACCTAAGGACACATAAGCACACAATTTAAATCCAATAATGAAATTAACGCAAACAAATCAAATAATTCCATTTAATAAAACAATTAAACAAGTAATGTAAATTAAACACACAATTAAACAAGTAACAAGTAATTCATTTTACTAAAAACAAGTAATTCAAATAAACAAGTAATTATACAATTAAATAAATTAAAAATGTAATTAAATAATTAACTAAAATACCAGGACTATCCTTTTAAAATTAGGGGTATTACATCCCTATAATTACATATATCAAATTATTAAATATCATATTAATTGTTTCATTTTCAACTTAAAATTTTAATTTTGTTCATAATTCAAAAGATAAAGTGATGTCTCAAAAGAGTACAAAGTAAACTTATAACTAAGAGGGTAGTTTTGGTAACTACAATCACTTTCTTTTCACTTTCATGCTTTCCAAACTCACAAAATAATATTTTCTCACAATTTTCTTGAAAAAAATTCTTGCTAACCAAATGCACGATGGAAACTTGATTTTCTTTTCATTTATTTCACTTTCACTTTCCATCATAATTTTCGTCTAACCAAACGGACCCTAAAAAGAAAAAGTTAAATTTTTATTCCTCAATTGAAACTCTTAACTTTTTCTTGTAAAATTCTCTCATTTTTCTTTCCTTTTTTTATTTCTACTCCTTAAAATTCTTTTTTTAACGTGCATATTTGAATAATTTTACTCTTCTTCTTCTTCTTTTGTATTTTATATCTGTTATGTTTATATATATATATATATATATATATATATATATATATATATATATTTGCATGTAGCCCTTAACTTGAAATCCTAGCTCCATCCCTAATCACTTGACACTTGTATTCACTCATCAATTTTACAAACTGTAAGAAAATGCAGGGTGGGATTACATGTAAAATCTTCAATTGCATAGTTAAATCCGACATATTTCTTGTAAGAAAATTCTTTTCAAAGTAAAAAAGCATAATTGACTAACCAATGTCAACGTAAGGCTATTAATTAGTAAAGAAAAGATGACATTACGGGAATGCTATATTGGTATCCCTTTAGCAATTTAAAAGTGTAGTTTAGAATTTGCTTTTAGTATTTTTATTGGAACTTACTTTGAGTACTCGCTCTTTAGTAGCCGACTATATCGGACCAAAATTAGGTAATACCCTTTAACATCATTTAAAGTTTAAACATTTTATACCAAGGTTTGTGTTCTAGTGATTTCTTCTTTTCTTTTTTTAAAAAAATAAATAAAAAAATAAACCTTATTCATGGTTAATATAAGGGACTTGAAAGGCAATAACGTACCATTAGACTAAAAATGGTCTTTTTCTTTTGTTTTTTTTGGTTCCCATATAACCGTGATTTGTCCGTGGACTATTGACAAGGGTGCATTAGACTAAAAATGGTCTTTTTCTTTTGTTTTTTTTGGTTCCCATATAACCGTGATTTGTCCGTGGACTATTGACAAGGGTGCAAATGGATTGGGCTTGGGATTGGGCTTGATATGCAAGTATGGAAATGTAATTTGGCACTTATTTTGAGAAGTGTTACTTAGCTCTTGGGACAAGTGAGGTCTAAAAAGCAACATTTAGAGAATGGGAGAGAAAAGGTTTGTTTTGATTGTGCACTTTTCTTAACTTATAAGTTCATTCATGTTTATTGGTTGGTTGTTGCAAAAGATCGATATTTTTAATTTTCAGTTTGCCTCCAGGAAGTGAAAATTAGACATAGTGGTGTAGATGCATATAAACTTTTACAACATTGGAATTATCAACTAGTAAGTAATTATTTTGGTTAGGGTTTGTGATTTTAACTAAGTAGGCAGAATGAGAGCAACAGAGAGATACGCTTTTATTTGTTTTTATTCATACAAGAGTTTAATAAATATGGTACAGCAAGGCCTAACTCCACCGATTTTTTTAGGATATTTTGATAATTTTTGCACGTGTTATATTACTCTAGTGCGAAAATATTTGTTTATTTTGAACTTTCTGTATTAGTGCTATTTTGATCATCATAGTGAAATTCATACAATTAGGTGAATAAAGTAAAAGTCGGTGTAATCCCTTTGATCATCTGTTTTGAAAGGCCGAAAAATATCATACATGGTCTTTTATAAAGTTATTTTTGAAGCACGATGAGTATTTAACCTATAAAGTGAAAATGGTAGAGTTGAAATGAATTTTTACCAATAATGAACATCACTATAAATATTTTACAAAACTCCATTTTATTGAGTATTGTTGGCTTTCACTCCAAAAATAGTGTAATTGGCTATTCAAAACTCCATCCAACCCTACACCCCCCACCCCAAAAAAAAAATTAAAAACATTAATTTTTATTTATGATAGAATGCAATGTTCATTTCTTAACTAATGAAAGAAGAATTAGCATAATAACTTTCTATGAGAATAATTAATGAAGAGTTGAAATGAGTCTTTCATTTCACTGTAACAAACTTTCGTCAAAGCAAAATTTAAATTAAATTCATTTACTCGTCAAAAATAATAATTTAAAATCGAATTCATTCTTAATACAAAAAATATGGTTAAGAGACAGATCCACCAACATTACCATCATATCTAGAACATTTAAGGTGGACCGTCGTTTTAGATTACCAGATGTGAGCAATATATATACAGTTACACTACGTATAGTATTTTAGCAGCCAAGTCCAACCAAAACCAGTTTTCTGCAATAAAATAATCTAGGGTTTCTGATTTCAAAATGTCCGACGAAAATAGCTCTATAGTCGAAGAACAAGAACCAAAACCTTCAACAATGTCCGAAACAGAAGAAACCCAACAACACGAGATCAAGCACACAGACAAGACCAACAAACCTTTCAGCATTTGGCCACCGTCGCAGCGCACTCGCGACGCCGTCGTTAACCGCCTCATCGAGACCCTCTCCACCCCCTCCGTCCTCTCCAAGCGCTACGGATCCGTCCCCCACGACGAGGCCGCCGCCGCCGCCCGCCGCATCGAGGACGAGGCCTTCGCCGCCGCCCGCGGCTGCGGCCTCGACGAGGACATCGAGATCCTCCAGGTCTACTCCAAGGACATCAGCAAGCGCATGCTCGAGGTGGTCAAGTCCAGATCCGCCTCCGCTTCGACACCGGACAGCAGTGGCACTGTGGATCCTACCTCCACCGCAAGTGAGGAAACATCATCTGTTGAACATGAATCTTGATCTTTCATTTCTAGGGTTTTCTTTTAGCTTTATGTCTCATATATATTAGCTCACTTGAACTACTATAATAATATCTGCTTGTACTCATGGATTTGCTGCTTGTTCGTTTTGTGTTTAATTATATACCGACTATGTTGTGATATGATATCTAGGGTTCTATTGCATTTTCATTTCTGTTGCAATGTGATCTGATCTTCTATTACTTTGTCTCAATATGTGTCATTTATTAATTTATTAATAAATAAAAATTTGAGTTGCTAATAATTTAGGTTTTTTTGGTCAGTATATACTTATCTCTGTTTATTGGTTGGCTTTGGTGTTCATGTTTCTGTATTGCTCATGATCTCTGTTCTATATATGCTGTTCGCTTCGTAGTTTTCAAATGCACAATTTTAATGCGAAGTGTGCTTCCATATGGATAGCTGATTAATTGAGTAAGTTGAATCAAGGTAGTTTATTTAATTCTGATGGTGGCATTTTAATACACAGAGACAGTTATACCAGTAAATATAATTTTTTTACTCTCAAGCTCCTAACACCTTATCTAGAGTTCATTATAACTGTATTTTGTGCTGCATTTCGAATTGTGGATAAAATTTGAAATAATCTTGATTTTTATAGAAATTAGAAACCGTGAAGTTTTTCCACCCAAACAAAGTTAAACCTCTATGTGCAACAAATGAACAAAAAATTGAAATAGAAGATCTTTAATGAAGGGATAAATATCTAGCATGCATGCAAAACAAAGGGTAAATTTTGAATAAAAAATAATTTTTTTGTACAATATCATGACAATGAATAAGTATTCAACATTTAACCATGATAAAAGTGTCACAACAAGTCTAAAACATCAAAAAATGAAGTTCCGGCATAATATTACGATTTAGAGTAAACGAATACATGAGCACAATTTCGAATAACACAAAAAACACGTGATCTAAATAAATCATAATAAACTTAGGCTTATAGCACGTGCTGCTTATTTATTTTGCTTTGCCTTCTCATTTGTTGTAGTCAAAAGTAGTAGTACATTGTACTGAAGTTTTACAATGTTTTTATAATCCAATGGTTTTGAGTTTATTCGAGTCCCTTCTATTTTCACTACTTCAAATAAAAATAGATGAATAATGTGAATAATCTTGAAGGTGAATCGTAGACAGTAATTCGTGATTAGGAGTTATTAGATGTCTTTTCTGACAAAGTTATTCCTCAACTTTTTCTCCTTTTGTTGCGCTGAAAATCTTTTTGAGTCGATTCGTGAATTATTTTGGATCTTTCCTTCTCTTCCTAGATTTTTGGCACATTGCTTCCTCAATCCTATATTTTGCATTTTGATCATAAATGAAATTTAGCATGAATGCCTTAGTTAGCATTCCATGCATTGTGGAGGAAGTAGGAACCTTTGTTAACCATGATATATATATATATATATATATATATATATGGTTCATATCAGATCAAGTTATTATTTTGGGTGCTGTCATCTACACTATTTACCAAACAACCTCATTAACACTTTGATTGATATGTTGCTATGTTACATGAACTTTTCAAAAGTAGGTGTAGTACTCATGTCATACACGCAATACTTAGATATGAGTATGGGTATGTGTTTGGATAAAATCTAATCATTTAAGTTGTTACTTATTGATTTTGATCGAGTGAAATGTCTATATTGAACAATAAGTTAAACAAAGACATTATTTTATTATAGAAAATAAATAGTAAAACATTCAATACACGATTATTTAACGGTCTTTTATTCGAGGATTTGACACGTTGATACTTGAATACATTTTCACACCCGACCCACTTACCTAAGTCCATATAACACATACGTGTTGACATTTTTATTATGTTGAGGATATTTTTTTTTTTTGAAAAAAAGATATGTATATTAGAAGTCTAGAATTTAATATAATGTTAGTAACTAGAAATCAAATATTATACTTTGAGATCAAAGTCAAACACACGCTAAATTTGACAGTAACATGGCTAAAGGCCATTATTACTTATGCTCAAAGATGATGTATATTAGAATTTTGTTTTATTGGTTCTTGACATACAGAAATGAGAATATTGCAGTAGCTATTAGGCCATTGTTTTGATTTAAAATAGTCTACTGCCTTTGAAATTTGAAAGAAAAAAAATAAAAATCAAACTTGACTTTGATTTGAACTTAAAAAAGTGAAAGAGTTGTTAAGTGTAAAAGATCATTTGCATATTTTGAAACTAATAGTTGGAAAATAACAAAAATAAAATTATTGGTTGTTGCATTTGATCGAGTTAAGAAAAAAAGGAATGATGTATGAAAAGTTTGAATGTTCCAAAGACAAAGAATTGTCGTGCGGCAAATAAAATGAACTCTATGCCTTTTGAACCAATATTTTGTGGATTTTGACATGACTTATCTTTTACCACTTAGCTTTTGTAAGAAAGATGTGTAAGTCGTGTTTGTGACACAATTATCTATTGAGTCATGAATGAGTCTTGAATGACACCACTCATGAAAGATTTCAAACATAACAAATCTTTTCATGAATCTTCATGACAAGATGTACACATCTTTCTTACACATAAAATGTTAAGTTATGGTAGATAAATTGTGTAAAAAAAACTATTGGGCCATTAGTCCAGTTTGTATAACCTCTCCTCCCTCAAAAGGGAGTTGAGGGGTTCATGTAAATTGACAAATATTGATTAAAAAAATAAAAAACATAAGTTCAGAGGATTTACCAGGTAATAATTTTTAATTTTTTAATTTTTTATTGTTTTTGGTTTTTGAACATAGCAATTTTCTATACATCATTTTAACTCGATCAAGATGCAATTGTTAACAATTTAATTTTTATTCTTTTTAAACTTCGAGTCTCAAAATATGTAGATAATTTTACAAGGCTTGACAGATGTTTCACATTTCTTGAAATCCAATCAAAACTATTTTTTATTTTCTTTTAACACAGTAGACTATTTTTTATTATAACTATTGCAATATATTCTTTTGTGTGTCAAGAATCAATAAAGCAAAATTTTAATTCACATGATCTTTGGTCATCAGTAATCAATGACCTTCGAATGAGTTAAGAGATGTATAATAGTTGTTTTTTTTTCTATCTTGGTTCTTAACATTATATTATATTTTAGTGTACAAATCTTTTTGATTAAATCTTTTACGTTATATATACTTATATTACATTATCATGCATGCAAAACGAAGGGGGAAAATCTATTCAAGATTACAAAATTTAGAATATGATCATGATAATGAATCCATATTCTACCATTAATAATGATAAAATAGTCATGTAAGTCATGTAAAACAAAGGATTTCTACAGAATCTTAAAATCATGATAAAGTGTGATACTTTGATTTAGAGCAAATTGAGACATGAACACGATTTGCAATAACACCTTGATCTTATTTCATCCTTATAAACCTTGGTTTATAATTTGTGTTATTTATTTTGCTCTGTCATTGTGTATGAGATTCCTTATTAATAAGCACAATATGGAATATGGATAGTCTCGTGGTTTGTGTGTCGAAGAAGCATGGACACGAACACAATATGACACGGGTACGTTGACATGTCAAATTCTAAAATACTAGGACACAAACACCGCGTGGACACTACTAATATAAATATAAGGGTGAATTACCCTCACCTCCCCTTAGGTTTGTCCATATATTCCACGTATGAAACTTTTGGCAAAATTATCTTTGACCTCCCCTATTAAACCTAACCCAATTAATTCACTTAATTGTAACAATGAAAGTACTATTTTACCCTTCACTGAATCCATCTTAATCTTCTTCTTCTCTCCTCACCCGACCAACTTATCTTCACTGAAACCACTGTACGCTAAATCCATCGGCAACGAGATCATCGCCACCACCGACAATAATCTCATCGCCCACCTTCGATGAAATCCCTTTACGCCACCCTCAAACTCGCGGGAATTTCTTCACCACCCCCATTGCAAGTCTCACAACACCTGTTCCTAGGGATGGCAATGGGGCGGTTTGGAGCGGGTTTTCCATTCCCCATCCTTGCCCCCGTTTAATTTTGGTACCCCCAAAACCGCCTCATAACCGTTTAAATTTTTGCTTCTAATCCCCATAACCGCCCCCGCCCTGCCCCCGGCTGCCCCGCCCCCGCCCCATAATCCGTTAAATTTAAAATTTTCAAATTTTTTGATTTTTTGATTCTACACAAGTTCTGTAGAACCACATAAATCTGAGAAAGAAAATAGAAATAGATCCATATCATCGTCGTATCAATCTGCAGCACCACATAAATCTGCAGAACCACATCATCGTCGTATCAATCCCACAATAAAATCAGCCATAAAATAAATAAATAAAAGAAACCCCTAAGTTGTCATAGATTGAGAAAGAAAATGGAAATAGATTCATAAAATGGAAACAATATTCAGAAACCCCAACTTATCGGGAAAAAAAGGAATGTTCTGTATTTTAGATAGAGATATCAAGAAGAAGAAGCAAACATATTTAAAAAAAAAAAAACCAAAACAAAAAATATAGAACTATTGCCTATTGGATCTCTGTGTATAGAGAGAGAAAGATATACAGCTAGATGAAGACAATATCTAACCCTAACCCAAGTATCTCTTTAAATCCTCCAGACAAAGGTGGAAAACACTGAATCAAACCCATCAAATCCATGTAGGCGAGTTCAATCTTTATTACAAAAACAGACCAAAAAAGGAGAGAGACAGAAAATCTATGTATAAAAATTACCAATCTATGAAGCCAAGACCTAAAAAGAGTAGCAAAAAAGGAGAGAGAAAATCTATGTATAAAAATTACCAATCTATGAAGCCAAGACCTAAAAAGAGTAGCAAATCTGAGGGGATCTTAGAGGAATACCTTTTGGGATAACCTTCGACCACTAAAGAAACCACAGATACTGGGATTTTGTAAAAAATCGATGGTCAGATCTATCAGTGCCGGCAGCCACTATCAGAATATAGCGTTTGAAAGTGAAGGCTGAAACTGAAAGTGAAATCTGGGGTTTCAATATATATATATAGTGAAGGTTAATTTTGTAAATATATTAACATGGAAGGGTATACTAGTATTTTAATATATTAATCGGGGCCGGTTTCGGAGCGGATTCGGGGCGG